AGTCATATGCATTCACAAAGAGGTGGTCTGACATTGAAACTTAATGTTTAAAAGGGAAGAAAAGCATAAAAGTTTGGAAAATTTAAAGCCTATATGATGCAAAAGAAAAACCGATTTACTGGGAAGTAATTCAAGCCTGCTGCAGAAATTTGCATAAGTAAAAAGGAGCCAAATGTTAATTGTCAAAATCATGGGGAAAATGTCTCCAGGGCATTTCAGAGATCTTCACAACAGCCCTTCCTATCACAGGCCTGGAGGCCTAGGAGGGAAAAATGGTTTCACGAGCTGGGCCCAGGGCCCTACTGCTCTGTGCAGCCTCATGACATGGTGCTCTGTGTCCCAGCCACTCCAGCTTCAGCTGTGGTTAAAAGGGGTCAAGGCACAGCTCATAATGTTGCCTCAGAGGGTGCAAGCCTCAAGCCTTGATGGCCTCCACATGGTGTTCAGCCTGTGGGTGCTTAGAAGACAGGAACTGGGGTTTGGGAACCTCTGCCTAGATTTCAGAAGCTGTATGGTAATGTCTGAATGTCCAGGAAGAAGTCTGCTGCAGGGCGAGAGCCCTCATGGGTGACCTCTACTAGGACAGTGTAGAGGGGAAATGTGGGGTTGGAGACTCACACAGAGTCCCCATTGGGGCACTGCCTAGTGAAGCTGTGAGAAGATGGCCACTATCCTCCATACCTCCAGACTGACAGCTTGTACCAAGCACCTGGAAAAGCTGCAAGCACTCAATGCCAGCCCCTGAAACTAGCCACGGGGCTATACCCTGAAGACCCACAAGGGTAGAGCTATGCAAGGCCTTGGGAACCCACCCCTTCCATCAGTGTACCCTGGATGTGAGACATGGAGTCAAAGGAGATTATTTTGGAACTTTAAGTTTTAATGACTTCCTCATTGTATTTTGGACTTGCACGGGGCCTGAGGCCCTTTCATTTTGGCCAATTTCTCTCATTTGGAACGTGTGTATTTATACAATGCCTGTACTCCCATTGTATATAGGAAGTAACTAACTTGCTTTTGATTTTACAGACTCATAGGCAGAATGGGACTTGCCTTGTCTCAGATGAGACTTTGGAGTTGGACTTTTGACTTAATGCTGGAATTAGTTAAGACATTTGGGGACTGTTGAGGTGGAATAATTGTATTTTGCAGTGTGATAAGGAAATGAGATTTGGGAAGGGCTGTGACAGAATGATATGGTTTAGCTCTGTGTCCCCACTTGGGTCTCATATCGAATTGTAATCACCATGTGTCAGGGGAGGGACCTGGTGAGAAGTGATTGGGTCATGGGACTGGTTTCCCTCATGCTTCTCTCATGGTAGTGAGTGAGTTCTTACAAGATCTGATGGTTTATAATTATGTAGCGGTTCCCCTGCCCTGCCCCCCATCTTGTGAAGAAGGTGCTTGCTCTTCCTTTGCCTTCTGCCGTGATTGTAAGTTTCCTGAGGCCTCCAAGCTATGTGGACTGTGAGTCAATTAAACCTCTTTTCTTTATAAATTACTCAGTTTCTGGTAGTTCTTTATAGCAGTGTGAAAATGGACTAATACTCTCTTCCTCTTCCCTTATTCCCTCTTTTCCTCCCAAATCCATGGCAACCATTAATCTTTCTACTATCACCATAGTTTTACCCTTCCCAGAATGATATTTACTAGGAATCCTAGCATATGTAGACATTTCAGACTAGCTTCTTTCAAGAAGCAATATATGTTAAGGTCTCTCCATGTCTTTTCATGGCTTGAAAGCTCATTTCCTGGAAGCGATTCCAATGTATGGATATTCCACAGTTTATTCATTCACCTATTGAAAGATGCATCTTGTTTGTTTCTAAATTTTGGCAATTATGAATAAGGCTGCTATAATTGTTAGTGTGAAGACTTCGTGTAGACATTAGTTTTGAACTGATTTGAGTAAATACCCAGGCTTGCAATTGCTGAAATAAGACCATATTTATCTTTGTAAATGCATACCAGACTGTTTTCCAGTGTGGCTGTTCTTTTTTTTTTCATTAAAAATTTATTTATATAATTTATGGGGTACAAGTGCGAATTTATTACATGCATAGTAGTCCAGTTAGGGGATTCAGAGAATCTGTCACCCAGATAACATACATTGTACCCATTAGGTGATTTATTATTATATACCCCTCTCCCACTTTGTCACCCTTCTGAGTCTCCATTGTCTATCACTCTGCTCTCTTTATCTATGTATACACCATTTTTTAGCATTCACTAAAAAATGAGCGAGTGAGAACATGTGATATTTGTCTTTCTGTGTCTGGTTTGTTTCACTTAAGATAATGACCTTCAGTTCTATCCATGTTGTTGCAAAAGACCAATGCTTTGGCTATTTGGACTCTTTTTTGGTTCTATATGAATTTTATGATTTTTTTTTCTAATTCTGTGAAAAAATGGTGTTGGTATTTTGGTAGGGATTGCATTGAACCTGTAGATTGCTTTGGGTAGTATGGTCATTTTAACAATATTAATTCTTCTGATCCATGAGCATGAGATATCTTTCCATTTGTTTTTGTCATCTTCAATTTCTTTCATCTGTGTTTTATAGTTTTCCTTGTAGAGATCTTTCACCTCTTTGGTTAAATTTATTCCTAGGTATTTTATTTTTTTGGTAGGTATGGTAAATAGGATTGACTTCTTGATTTCATTCTCAGTGAGATCATTATTGGTATATAGAAATGCTACTGTGTTTTATATGTTAATTTTTGTATCCTGAAACTTTATCAAATCTAAGAGTTTTTTTGGTGGAGTCTTTAGGGTTTTCTAGATATAAGATCATATCGTCAGCAATCAGCGATACTTTGACTTCCTTCTTTTTGATTTGGATGTGTTTTATTTCTTTCTCTTGCCCAGTTGCTCTGCCTAGGACTTTCAGTACTATATTCAATAACAGTGGTGAAAGTGGGCATCTTTGTCTTGTTGTAGATCTTAGAGGGAAGGCCTTCAGCTTTTCCCCATTCAGTATGATACGTGGGTTTGTTGTATGGTATGTGGGTTGTAGGTATGATATGTGTGTTTGTTGTATATGGCCTTTATTTTTTTGAGGTATGTTCCTTCTATGCCTCGTTTGTTGATGGGTTTTATCATGACCGGAAGCTTAATTTTATCAAATGCTTTTTCTGCATCTATTGAGATGATCATATGTTTTTTGTCCTTAATTCTGTTTATGTGATATATCCCATTTATTAATTTGCATATACTCAACCATCTTTCTATCCTTGGTGTAAAACCCACTTGATCATGGTGTATGATATGGTTTGGCTCTGTGTCCCCACCAAAATCTCATCTTATAGCTGCCATAATTCCCACGTATTGTGGAAGGAATCCGGTGGGAGATGGTTGAATCATGGGGGTGGGTCATTCCCGTGCTGTTCTTGTGACAGTGAATGAGTCTCATGACATCCGATGGTTTCAAAAATGGGAGTTTCCCTACACAAGCTCTTTGTCTGCTATCATTCATGTAAGATGTGACTTGCTCCTCCTTGCCTTCCACCATGATTGTGAGGCCTCCCCAGCCATGTGGAATTGTAAGTCCAATAAACCTCTTTCTTTTGTAAATTGCCTAGTCTCAGGTATGTCTTTATCAGCAGCATGAGAATGAACTGATACAGTGCATTATCTTTTTGATGTCCTGTATTCAATTTACTAGTATTTTGTTGAGGATTCTTGCATGAATGTTCATCAGGGATGTTGGTCTGCTGTTTGCCTTTTTTGGTTGTTGTGTCCTTGTCCAGTTTTGGTATTAGGGTGATAGTGACCTCATGGAATGAATTAGGGAGAATACTCTCCTCTTCAATTTTTTGGAACAGTTTCAGGAGGAGTGGTATTACTTCTTTTTATATTTGATAGAATTTGGCTGTGAATCCCTCAGCCAAGCTCCCTCAACAATCCCTGAGCTTGTCTTTGTCGGGATTATTATTATTATTTTTTTTTTACTACTGATTCAATGTTGCTGTTCATTATTGGCCTGTTTAGATTTTCTATTTCTTCCTTGTTCAATCTTGGTAGGTTGTGTGTTTCCAGGAATTTATCTCTTTCCTTTAGGTTTTCTTGTTTGTGAGTATATAGTTGTTCATAATAGTTTCTGATGTTCTATTGTGTTTCTGTGGTATCAGTTGTAATGTTTCCTTTTTTATTTCTCATTGTGTTTTTTTGATTCATCTCTCTTCTAGGTTAGTCTAGCTACTGGTTTATCAGTTTTATTTATCTTTTTGCAGAATCAACTGTTTTTTTTAATAATTTGTATCTTTTTTAAGTAATTTTTTTAAATAATTTGTCTCTATTTCATTTAGTTCTACTGTGATCTTTGTTATTTCAAATTCTGCTAGTTCTGAGTGTGGTTTGTTCTTGATTTTCTAGTTTTTTGAGATGCACTGTTAGGTTGATAATTTATAATCTTTTTTTTAAATAATAGGCATTTAATGCTATAAATTTCCCTCTTACCACTGCTTTTGCTATGTCCCACAGGTTTTGGTTTGTTGTGTTTACATTTTCATTTGTTTCAAAAAATTTTTAATCTTTTGTATTAATTTCTTCTTTGATCCAGTGATTGTTCAGGAGCTTGTGTAATATCCATGTGTTTGTATAGTTTCTGAAGTTCCTTTTTGTATTGATTTCTATCCACTGTGGTATGAGAAAATAATTGATAGGATTTCATTTTTAAACATTTGTTGATACTTGCTTTATGGCCTAACATGTGATTTATCTTGGAGAATGTTCCATGTGCTCATCGAAAGAGTGTATATTCTGCAGTTGTTGGGCAGAATATTCTGTAAATTTGTTAGGTCCGTTTGGTGTAAAGTCCAATTTACATCTAATGTTTCTTTGTTGGTTTCCTGTCTAGATGATCAGTCTGATGCTGTTAGTGGTGCATTGAAGTCTCCCACCGTTATTGTATCTCTCTCTCTCTTTAGGCGTAGTGATATTTGTTTTATGGATCTGGGTGCTCCAGTGCTGGGTGCATATAAATTTAAAATTGTTATAACCTCTTGCCAAATTGATCCCTTTATTATAGAATGACGTTCTTTGTCTTTTTTTAACCGTCTTTTATTTAATATCTGATTTAATTGATGCAAGTACAGCTAGTGCTGCTCACTTTTGGATTTTGTTTGTGTGGACTGTCTTTCTACTCCTTTACTTTTGGTCTATATGTGTCTTTACAAGTAATGTGAGTTTCTCATAAGCATCATATAGTTGGATTATATTTTTAAAATCTATTTTGCCAATCTGTATCTTTTAAATGGGGCATTTAATTCATTTATTTTCAAGGTTTATATTGATATGTGAGGGTTTGTTCTTGTCATATTGTTAATCATTTTCCAGTTTTATAAATTCTCTGTTTTTTTCTTGGAATGTTTGTCTTTGTGGTTTGGTGGAATTCTGTAGTGGTGCCATTTGATTTCTTTTTCTTCCTCCTTTGTGTGATTGCTTTACCAGTGAGTTTTATACTTTTGTGTGTTTTCATGATGATGGATATCACTTTTACTTCCAAGTTTAGGACTTCTTTGAGCATTTCTTGTAGGGCCAGTTTAGTGGCGATGAATTCCTCAGTATTTGCATGTTTGGGAGAGACTTCATTTCTTCTTATTTATGAAGCTTATTGCTGGATATTGAGTTCTTGGCTGGCAGTCTTGTTTTTTTTTTTTTTTTTTAAATATCAGCACTTTTAATACGTCATTCCCTTCTCATCTGGCTTTTAATGTTTCTGGTAAGAAGTCTCATGTTAGTCTCATGGAGTTTCCTTATGTAGGTGATTTTTTTTTATTTCAGCACTTTTAATATGTCATTCCCTTCTCTTCTGGCTGTTAAGGGTTCTGGTGAGAAGTCTCATGTTAGTCTCATGGAGTTTCCTTATGTAGGTGACAGGGTGCTTTTCTCTTGATGATTTTATTTTATTTTTTTCTGTCAAGCTGTTCTTTATCTCAGGAAGAGGGCAGGGCAGGGGGCTCAGTCTTTCTTAGCAGTAATTTTCCTCATGGTGGCCAGGACATTGCTCAGCTCCTCTCGTTTCCTCTTGGTGAGGATGTGTGTCCCCACCCTTTTCTTGATGAACTTGAGGGCCTGTTTGTCCTTGGAGACCTTCAGTAACTCCTTGGTTCGCCGCTCGTATGGGGTGAAGCCACACACCTCTCGGGTCATGCCCCGCACACACTTGGTATGTTTGGTCAGGCGCCCGAGGCTACGACTGTGTCTGGGCTTGCTCACATTCTTGGTCACCTTGTGGCCTTTGTTGAGGCCCACAACCATAGTGTAGCACAGAGCCATTGCTGCTGCTCTCCAGTGGTGGCTGTGGTTAAAGGCTGTCTTGCTGATTTTAGAATTCTTTTTACCTTAGACAATCTGATTATAATATGCTGTGGCAAACTCCTTTTTGCATTGTGTTTTCCTTGGGATCACTGAGTCTCCTGTGTCTGGATGTCTAAATCTTGCTATACTTGGAAAAGTTTCATTTCTTATTTTGTTAAATAGGCTTTCTAAGCCTTTTAATCTCTCATCTCCCTCAGGAATACCAATAATTTGTAAGTTTGGTCATTTTATGTAGTCTCAAATGGCACATGTATATCTATGTAGCAAACCTGCATGTTCTGCATGTGGATCCCAGAACTTAAAGTCTAATGAAAAAAATAAATAAATGAAAGTAATAAGCAAGTTCCAAAAAAAAAAAAAAAAAAGCTTTGTTTATTCTTTTTCTTTATTTCTGTCTGACTGGATTATTTCAAAAGACCTGTCTTCAAGTTCTGAAATTCTTTCTTCTGTTTGATCTAGTGTTTCAAGTTCTGAAATTCTTTTTTCTGCTTGATCTAGTATTTCAAATGTATTTTGTATTTCCTTCAATGAATCTTTTAGTTTCAGAATTTGTGTGTGTGTGTGTGTGTATGTGTGTATGTGTGTGTGGTGGGGGGAGAGAGAGAGACTTGTTCTGTTGCCCAGGCTGGAGTGTAGTGGTGTGATCATAGCTCAGTATGACCTCAAACTTTTGGACTCAAGTGATCCTCCTGCCTCAGCTTCCTGAGTAGTTGGGATTTACAAACATGTGCCAACATGCCTAGCTAATGTTTGTATTTTTAGTAGAGACAGGTTCTCGCTATGTTGCCGAAACTGGTCCTAAACACCTGGGTTCAAGCAGTCCTCTTACCTTGGCCTCCCAAAGTGCTGAGATTATAGGCATTAGCCACTGTACTCGGCCTTTTTATCTTTTAAAGATATTTATCTCCATGTTAAAAGGTTTTATTTGTATTCTGAATTGATTTTTTGAGTTCTTTGTATTGGTTTTTAGATTTCTCTGGCATCTCATTGAGCTTCTTTAAAATCAGTATTTTGAATTCTTTATCTGGGGTTTTGAGGATTTTTTTTTCTTTTTTGGTTAGGATCTATTGCTGGAGAATTACTGCATTCATTTGAGGCCATCATATTACCTAGCTTTTTCATGTTTTCTGTATCTTTATGTTGGTTTCTGCTCATCTGGCTTCATAGTTACATCTTCTTTTTTAAAAAATGACTTTCATGTGGATGGGGGACTTTTTTCTTGAAGATGTGACAATGATGTTAGTTGGGTAAGGCCGTCTGGCTTTGCTTTCAGGTGCATGCAGTAGTGAAGACTGTGTATAATTTATATGGCTATCTTCATTGTGGTAATGTGTGGTTCTTGGCGGGGCCTGTGGTGAAGTTGTGCTTGTGACTTGAGTGCCTGACGGGCCCATCATCAGGTTTTAATGGTAGCAGAAGTGTGCCAAGTATGTCTATCCTTGTGACCTGGGACAGCATATGCTGGCTCCTGTGTTGGCAGTTTCCAGGCAGGCTAATGTTTGGGCATCTGGGTGGCTTTCTCAGATGCCAGTTTTAGTAGCAGTATACCAGGCATATAAGAAGGCTCTCGAGCTCCCGAGCAGCTGGGGTAGTGAGGGTGATAGACGTAGCAGTGGTGGTGAGATGCTCTCCTTGTTCCCTTGCACTGTGCTCTTGTGCTGGAAGTGGTTGCAACAGGCTGTGCAAACTGGCTTCTAGGTCAGAAGGTGGTGCTTGCAAGTAAGAGCCAACTGAGACTGTAGAAGTAGGGTGTTTATGCTCAGTCTCTGTCCCCTAGAAGTGCTCATGTGCCCCAGGTGGTGGATTGGGTTGTGGAACACCCAGAACCTGCCCCCCCCCCCACCAGTTTGTGTTGGCATAGGGTTAGGGGGGTGAAGCTGGGTGGATACAGACTGGGCAAGCTTGTACTCAACACCTCCCAATGGCAAGTGCATGCATGAACTATGACGTGGGGGTAGGGCAGGCAGTGTAGTCCTCACGCCTCTGGTGAAATGCTTGGGTGAGAGGTGACTGCTGCTGTGCTGAGGTCGTGCCATAGGTGCCAGGGAGGATGAGACCACTGCTGTCCCTCCCCCATCCCAGCTGTGGCAGCCAACCTGGCTGTTCTGTTAGTATGGCAGTTTGCACCTAGCCCGTAATTCAGCCATGAGCCATAGAAGCCAGCACCCAGCTCAAGACCAAGCCTCTGCAGTAACTCATCCTGCTTAGGATTGGAGCATTGGGAGCCTGGTTCCAGTGCCAGAGACTGCAGCCCATGCCATGTCTGCTTCTTAGTTTTGGTTGTGGGATCCCCATTGATCCCCATTCCTGCTCAAGCCCCTGCTCCACAAGATGCAACCTGATCTTCCCCAATGGCCAAGACTGGTGCTGCAGATTTCCAGGACCACTCATAGTTGCTAAGAGCTAGGATTAAGAATGGCATCTTACTGTGGCTACTTAGTTCTCAGGAATTGTGTGGGACCCAGGGCATGTTGCCTCCCTGGAGCTGTTCCTTCTCATAGTCTCCTGGATGCTCCCTAAATCAGATTCAGAATTTGGGTGGGTCAGGGTGCTCTCCTGTGGCCTGAATTGTATGATTCCCCAGTGGGAAAGTGGACTGCAGAAAGATATTCACTCTCTCTTGTATTGGGGATTCATTGCCAGTTCCCAGCCAGTCTTGACCACACAGGCTGTCTGCTTTCCTTCTCATTTCCAGATTTTGGAGTTTCCTTTCACTTTTTCTGTTGAACCCTGTGTTCCTTGTTGGATAATGTATTCAAAGTGTGATTGTCTGCATACCACTTTGGTTTTTCTAAGTGGATGAGGCATGCTGGAAATGTTTTTAGTCAGCTATCTTGGAAAACAAAGGTCAGCCTCCTGTCACTTTTTGAGCTTCTTTGATCTTTTCATATGGTTACTGTGTTTTCTTATGACCATTATTTTCAGACTTCTCTGCTTGCTGTTTTTTCTCTACTCACTTTCTAACTGTTGGCCTTCCTGGTAGCCCATTCTTTGTCCTCTAATTCGATACTCTGATATTAGGTGATGTCCTCCCTTTCTGTGATTTAATAGAACTAACCATATTCCTACAACTTTCAAATTTTTTTTTGTTTGTTTGTGTTTTGAGATGGAGTCTCATTCTGTCGCTCAGGCTGGAGTGCAGTGGCACAATCTCGGCTCACTGCAACCTCTGCCTCCCGGGTTCAAGCAATTCTCCTGCCTTAGTCTCCTGAGTAGCTGGAATTACAGGTGCGCACCACCATACCTGGCTAAATTTTGTATTTTTAGAAAGAGATGGGGTTTCACCATTGTTGGTCAGGCTGGTCTCGAACTCCTGACCTTGTGATCCGCCCATGTCGGCCTCCCAAAGTGCTGGGATTACAGGCATGAGCCACTGTGCCTGGCCACAACTTTCAATTTTATATATCTATCCCAGACTTCACTTAGGAGATCAAGATTCATCTGTCTAATGCCCATTTAACAGCCCCTCTTTGAGTCTCTCTCAGATGTCTCGGTTTATACAGATATAAACTTGAACCCTTCATTGCACCTCTGTTTCAAAAAAAAAAAACCAAAGCAAAAACCTCACCAGCAGAAGAAACTACAAAAATCCTGTTACACTCCCACTGTTTATTAGATAATATTATTTTAGCTGTCTAGGCCAGAATCCTGGGTGCCATCCTTGATTCTTTCCTCTCGTTTCTTCCACATACCTAGTTCCTTGCCACTCCCTGTGAGTACTAATTTCAAAATATATTTCAAATTTTATCCACTTTCTCTTATCCCTATTCTTGCAATCTTAATACAAGTTACTATCATCTATCTCTGAGACCACTGTATTATTTATGAGTGCCTAATACTAGGTATTACACAGAATAACAAACTGAGCATAATTTTGTTTTTAGGATTTCAAATTAATTGTAAACACTAAGTTTGAACTCCCAGAATTCTGAAGTTACAAGAATAAGAGGTAAAACCCTAAATATAAAAAAAAAATCCTAAACTAAAAACAGTGACTTCATTTTCCTCCCTAATAGAACTGTGTGATGCTTGGGTATCCAGAGGAGGTAAGTCAGAATATTGGGAAACATTTGTTTCTAGTTCAGATTTTGGTTTCTAGTAATTCTATTGTTTTTTAAGTTATTCAGAATTTTATGGTGGGAGGAGGAAGAATAGAAATTAATTTTTATATTATATAAACATAACTTTTTTTTGCCAGTTATATAATTTTACATTAGGTTAAGAGTGAGAATATATATCTATCTCCTCTATATGTATCTCTATATATTACATATGTAGTAATACATATGTTAATGTTCTGAATAAGGAACTTACTGTATTGCTAAGTGAATAGGTCTCATCCCTTGGAATGAAGTTGAGCATTATTGATAGGAGGTTGTTTTTATGAGGGCAGACCAGATACTAAATGAGATACATTGAACTAAACTGCATGCTCTTCCTAACAGAGGCACAAAATTTTCTTACGTTTTTAACCAATTAAGTATAATGGGCTAGTGTGAGCAAAGTAAATTTCTATGATAAGGTAACTAACTTGATATTCAGGTAGTTGTTGGGGGTTTGTACCTTTGGGGACATTATTTGTCTGCCATGAATAGAGGTTATTTTGCTGGCATCTAGTGGGTAGATGCCAGAGATGCTGCTAAGTATCCTACAGTGGCCAGGATAGCCCCCCACAATGGTTATCAGACGTCCACAGTGGTGAGGTTGAGCCAACTCTCTTCTAGAGTATTTGTTTTTCAACCCACTACTGCAATGTCCTAAGTATTTTTCAAAATTCATTTAACAAATAAACCCTTAATAGAGGAGTAATGGTTGTAACAATTCCATGATTTTATTTTTGTGAAAATTTAAATGAATGGAAGTATATTTGTGTGTACTTGCAATAATTTAGGAGACGAAGGAATCAAGGATGAATACCAGGTTTCTGGCTTGAGCAACTCACCAGGAGGATGTTGTTGACATTGAGATGAGAAGAAAAAAAAAAAATAGAAGTGTGGGAAAAGATCTTCATTTCAGATTTTATACTTGTAGAATTTGAGGTGCCTGAGAGATATCAAGGTGAAGTCCTGAAGATCAGAACATAGGCTTTTAGACATATCCTTAATTTGCAATTCATCAGTATATAAATATAATTTGGACCTAGGATGGATGAAATCACCCAGTAGAGTGTATATCTTTTTTTTTCCATTTACTTTTCAGATTTACTGAGTGAACATAATTTTCTTTTCATAAACATTTGATCTAAATCATTTTTGTTGTTGTTGTTGCTGGTTGTTTGGTTTTTAATACTGGGAACAC